TAGCATCATGCTCTGGATTTGCTTTGCTGCTAGTGGTAGACGGAATAATGAAGCAGGAGGACTACCTCCAAATTCTTCAACTTTGCGTTAAATGAACAGACAGACAGGACACAATTTGATGTTCCAGCAGAACAATGATCCCAAGCACACATCACTGTTTTTTTAATGGATAAAGCAAGCAAACATTAAGCTTTTGAAATGGCCTTTCCAAAGTTCTGACCTCAGCCCAACTGAAAATTTATAGACTATCAGGGCTCTAGACTAACTTTTTGCTACAGTTGCACCAGGCACACCAGTAAAAAAGTTAGGTGCACCCACTGGTGCGACCAAGGATTTTATTTAGTCGCACCATTGAAAAATTTGGTCACATTTGCGACCAAATTCGCCGCACTCTAGAGCCCTGACTATGCTTAAAAGTTGTAACAAAACGAAACATTAAACATCACATCGGCCTCCTCTGACGACCTGTTTGCTGCTGCCTGCTGCTGAAAGGCAGTGGGGAGAGGGGACACCTGGGCAGTGTATTTATCGAAGCATATAATGTGTTTTCTGGATACACTGTGCTGTTTCAGCGTTCAGAGACTGATGGCTACATGTCAGAGCAGTGGCTATAAATTTCAGACGGATCAGGCGTTAACTTAACAAAAAAGTTATCAATAGTTCTTTTTATCTTTTCTTATTACCCACAGATACATCCACTTCCGTCGGGCCTAGGCTGCTCACTAGAGCTGGGTATCATCACTGATTTCTATAATCCATTCAATTCCGGATTCACGAGGTCCCGATTCAATTCGAGTCAATTTTGCCTCAGACAGTCAGAAATATTATAACTCTGATCATATGTGAGACTTCATCAGAGGTGTGAGCATCACAGCAGATGCCTTTGCGTCAAAGTAACTGAGAATAAAACACAGAAAAACATGAAGGAGATTTTCCTGGCCTGGATTTTTATAGCAGATAACCTTAATTAGCCAAATTTTAAAAAATTTTAATTTCTTCAGACTTGAACAACAGAAATTAGGCTTTCTTGGCCGAGGACATTTAAGTTAAAAAAAAAAGCGCTGCAAACAATGGTAGACTGGTGGGTAATAAGCGAATGAATAATGCTGAAAACATGCTGGTTCAGTGAATTTTGGTTGGCGAGAGACAAAGCCTGCAGCTCAGAATCGAACAAAAAAAAGACGTAAACACAAAGCGCGGACCCGCCGACGCATCAGAATCAGTGAGCTGTCGGCTTTCAGCCCCAACGGCGCGTCCGTGTACGTGCCGTCGGGTGAGAAAGCCGAGAAACAGAAAGCTGATTCTGATGCGTCGGGTCCATACTCTGTGTTTACGTCTTTTTGTGGAATCTGTTTACCTGCTCTTATTTACTGTTTCAGCTGTTTGGTGGTTGTTGAAATAGTTTTGAGAGCTTTAACCTGAGATTCTGGCGTTTCTGGCAAAATACATTTATATTTAAAAGTTGAATCAGGATTTAATGAATCTATATCGTTTTATTCAAGCTACTCACCTCCCTCTTCCACCTGCACTTTCAAACGTACACACAAAAGGACTACGGGACAACTATAGGACCACGGTCAATCATAGAGGTCCCGCTCCTGACTATCTCTGATTGGGACACACGATAGGGGCATGATGTCTGTCAGTCGTTGACAACACGGAGACTTTCAGAGTTGCCGGGACTTTTTTTTTTTTTTTTTTACTGGAACAGCTGGTCGCACCAGTGTGACAGGATTGAAAAATTGGTCGCACTCTAGAGCCCTCACTATGCTTAAAAGTTGTAACAAAACTAAACAGTTTCAATGATATCGACCAATTCTGCCAAGAAGACAGTGAGCAAAAATCAAGCCAGAATAATGCCCGAAGCTTGTTGATAGCTAGCCCCAAATTATCATGACATTAATGCTCATGATGACCCTCCGTAAACTTTTCACAGATTCCTATAAATGCTTTATTTTTCACAACTGTATGTGTTATGACAGGAGTTTCATTCAAAACAATCAGGCACACTTACCGTCCTCGCTCAGCAATCCGCCCTTCATTGACAACCAGGATCTGGTCTGCTCCAATGATGGTGGACAACCTATTACAGTGCAATAACGGACCCACAAGTCATCGATGAAATAAATGAAGATGGATAAATTCACTTAAAAAAACCTGACAGTACATGAATTTATAATTTAATTAATTTACCTGTGAGCTACAACCACTGTAGTACGATTGGCACAGACTTTGGCCAGAGAGGCCTGGATGTTGCGTTCTGTCTGTGTGTCCAGGGCAGATGTGGCCTACAGAGAGATAATATTAGAAAACTGCAACTAACAGCAATGAGTTTACACTCGAGATGACAGTTCAGTCACATACCTCATCCAGCAGGATGATTTGTGGTGCTTTGAGGATAGTTCTGGCGATAGCCACCCTCTGCTTCTCTCCTCCACTCAGCTTCAGTCCTCTTTCCCCCACCTGGGTATCATAACCTGCCCGGCAGAAACACAGGAAGAGGCTGAAAAACCTTCTTGCAATATAGAAGAGACTGCAGTTACATAGTGATCATCAATAACTACACTTCAGAACCTTTTAAAAATATGGCTAACTTCAGAAATATACATTTAAAAGATATAAACTTAAGATTCAATTTAAACACCCACGATTTTATTAAAAGTATGGAAAACAAATCTTTGAAGTCACAATGCTGAATAAACTGAGGGATTAATGTGCTCGTTACCATCAGGGAAGGTCATGATTTTGTCATGGATATCAGCAGCGAGTGCAGCCTCCTCCACCTCCTGGTCATTAGCAGTGGTGCGACCGTAGCGAATGTTCTCCCGGATGGTGTCGTTAAACAGGACGGTATCCTGGGGAACCACGCCGATATGAGATCGCAGAGACGTTTGTTTCACCTAAAGAAAGATGATGAAGATAAAGTAATAAGAAGTCTAGACTGTGCAATTATAGTAATAACAAAGACTTTATGACTTCTGCAATAAGAGAATTGGCTGATTTGTGTTTTACTGGATTAATGATTTCATTATAATGTAGATTTCATATACAGCTGTCGACTGGATGACTGGAAGTTTCAAATATTTCTCACACAGTAGCTCTGGTGCCAAACCTCTTACCTTTGATATATCCTGGCCATCAATGCGAATGCAGCCTCCCTGAACATCATAGAAACGGAAAAGCAGTCGAATGATTGTGCTTTTCCCAGATCCCGACGGCCCAACCTGAAGGTATGTTAATAATCCGTAATGTTAGTAACACCTTAACTGCTCAATGTAATGCTGGAAAGCAGGAAACATCTCGTCTCAGACTCACCAGTGCAACTGTCTGTCCTGGAAGAACTGTGAAGGACACATCCCTGAGAATCTCCTTGCTGCAAAGCAGTAAAGAAATCTAAGAATGAGCTATGCAAGGACTCATTGAGACTGAAGTTTTAATAAAAGAAATCAATGCAAAAATAAACCAACCCATTTATGTAGCTGAAGTAAACGTTTTCAAACTCCACTTTCCCCAATTTAAAGAGAAGGCTTCCTGCATTTACTTCATCCTTCACCTGCATCAGGCAACATATAAAGACCATAAAAAACTCAAAACACATTAAAAAAAAACCCCACTGATATCACCGCTGCAAATATTTACCCATCTATAAACATACCTCTTGATCTTCTTCGAAAAGTTGGAACATGTTTTCCATGTCAATAAAGGAAGTCTGGATCATTCTGCAGGGAAAGAAGAGAAATCAACAGTTGGCAAAAGGAACAGGAGTCAAACAGAGTTTTGGTAAAAGCAATACATAATCTCTATATTTTTTTTACCTGTAGTATGTCCCAAACCAGTTGAGTGGGGTGTACAGCTGGATGATGTAGGTACCGAAGAGAACATAATCTCCAACCTGAGGTTAGAATTGTTTTTATGAGACTTATAATAATATAATAACAGCAATAATAACATAATTGCATAGTTTTGGAAATGTGGAGATGCATAATGCAAACCATTATTACAAAGTCAATACCCGAAACGTTCCCTCTGTGACAAAGTATGCACAGAGCAAGGAACCAGCCAGCAGTCCTGCTCCAATGATGGCGTTCTGTGTTTGATTGAGTAACGCCAGAGATGCCTGGGTTTTATACTCCGATTCCTACAACGGGAGAAGGAAACAACAATTAAATATATGACTCCATTCCTGAGACCACTAAATTAAACATTTTTCTCTACTCTCTGTGATCAGTGTCTCAGTTTTAGTTTTGGTGAAATACAGGAACAAAAATCTACATGCAAACCCAATAATAGTTGGTTAAATGTCTCTTAGCAAGTTATTTTGCTTATTTTGGAGCCATGATTTAGTGACATAACACCCAACGATGTCCAAGAATTTAGAGGTAGTCCTCAGCAGCAGAATATTATGGATTGTCTAAATATTGTCCCAGGAAAATCAAAGCAGCAAAATCACACAAAAAACACTGAACTCCAACATCCAGTTATTTCATTTTGTCTTTGCTTTGAAATCAAACCTGACATAAATTTGCTTCCACTCAGCATCTTAATGCTAAAAGCTATCTCAAAGGTAGCAATAACTAGAAAGACTGTAGGAGAGCAGGTTTATTCTAACTCCTGTTAAAGTAAACAAAGACCAGCTTAGGAAAAAAAAAACAGCAGGGGAAGCCGTGGAATACCAAAACCGGTTGATAAATGCACTTACCTGATATTTTAAGATTGCACCCTCAAACCGGCCGACCTCATAGTTCTCTGCATTGTAGTATTTTACCTTTGGAACCAGAAAAAACAAATTGTATTTTAAAGTGCATTTTAAGATGAAAGAATAATAAAAAGAAAAGTAAACTTCTTTATGAACCACAAACTTATTTAATGTACCGTCTCAAAGTTTAACAAGGAGTCCACAGCCCTGGACTTGGCAGCGTTATCCATCTGATTCATTTCTCGCCTGTACTTGGTTCTCCATTCAGTGATGATGATCGTCAAGGCTGGCAAACATTTGAATAAGGAATTACTACACAGTCAAAGAGGATCTGAAATCTATCTTAGCCAATGCTGAAGTACAGAAATGTTTTGCACACTTGAAGTTTATTTTTCATTATTAAACTGGGTCAAAGTGAAGCTAGTTGAGCTTCAACAGGCATAACTTACTGAGGTAGAAGGTCATGCAGATGAAGACAATAAGGCCAAACCAGGCATTGAAAAAAGTGCTGAAGTAGATGATGGCGATGATAATATCAGCAATGGTTGGAAAGATGCTGAACACTATGTAGCTGTGGAAAAACAACAATAACTGAGTTTAATTTTTCTTCAGAGTCTAACATGAGAGGAGCATTTAAGTATAACAAACAAACACAACAGATTCATTATTTGAGTTATTACTAATTGTTAATAATTATTGTGATCCTGTTTGATGCCATCTTACCTGAGCAAGCCATTAATGGAAGCTGTGCCACGATCAATACTTCTCAGTACTTCACCAGTTTTGCGACCCAGATGCCAGCGCAGAGAGAGGGAGTGCAGGTGGCCAAACAGATTGACTTGAACCAGTCGATTGGTGTACTGCTGCACGCGGATCCAGACGAAAGAGCGCATGTTACTGACAAATCCAGAGGAACCTGAGAAGAAGAGAGGTTGGTGGTCAAAATAATGGAGCAGCCTTAATGCTAGTGTGGCATGTGAGGCTGATGCTCATTGTGCAGCTCTCTGTGGTACTACAATGTTCACTGGGCATCCGTGAAGTAAGTCCTACCTGCTCCTCCACCCTGCAAGAACTTAAGCAGGACATAAATACACACTGTAACGGCTACAGTGTGCCAGCTGCTGCCATCAGTCAGTTCATTCACTGAAAAAAGGACACAGACATCAAGGAGAATGAGACAAAATGAGGCTTTCAAGCTGTGGTGAAAAAAAATCAATGAATAAATAAAAAGTATTATGAGATTTTAATCTGACTGCAACAATGTCACTGCAGTACAATCAGTGTCAGTGACTGAACATTTGAGTCTATAGTGCATGATGATGAAGGCACATCACTCACCGATATTCTTGTAGTAAATGGGTACAAAGACGTTAATAGCCCTCTCCACTCCCAGCAGCCCCAAACAGAAGAGGACCAGCAGCTGGAGAAACTTGTTGCCTTGCGGCCACATGTAGGGAACAAGCAGACGGACCTTCTTCCAAAAACCCTTCCAGGTGGACTGGTTCTCCTCTGATCTTCCCAACAGGCTCTGACCCAGAAAAAGATATGAAACCATTAAAAAAGCATTAATAGAGTATATAAGCAAAGCTGCTCATGTGTTTCAATATACAGTGGAAGTGCTGCAAGTGCCCTGTCACTACCTGTCTACCGTTTTCTACGTCACGCTCATCTTCATTTATCAGTAGCATGTAAGGTCTCCTTGGCAACCCTGGAGCTTTGAGACCGATGAAGAAGAGCAGCCCAGTGCTAATGTAGCGCATCATCCACAGGAACAACTGCACCTGAAGTTTTCATAGATGTTTACACACACATCAGCATGGATACAAAACAGCGTTTAACACAATGGTAACACAATGCTAATAACACAGTAATGTGAATAAGCTGAAAACTGTTTTATTGAACAGTTACCATATATCTAAGTAGTTTACTATTATAATATAATTTACTATTAAAATGGCACTTTCATAATGTTGACTTTATGGGATGAAGGATGCAATACAATAACATTTTGCAAAGCAAGTAAAAGTAAAAGCACTTTAAGTTTAGGAAAAATCAACAACTACATTAAAAAACTTTGCAAAGGACAAAAACTACAAGTCATGCTTGCAGTTATGTAGTCAAAAAACTTTCACTCAACTCAACTCCTCCCCATGTGGGAGGTGCAAGATCCTGTCTTTTGATTTGATTGGTTAAGAGTGCAGGGTTTAGGAACTGAAAGTCAGACAAGCAGTGACTTGGCAAAAAAGGTTGTAGCATGCTTACGGCCCATTTGTTTTGCTTTGTTTACTGGGCGGAAACTTGATACATGAGCCAGCTTGCACTGCTCTGAGTAGTGGCTCCGAAGGCAGACTTATCTTTAAACTTTGGCTCATAAAGGTTTAAACACTCACTGAAGTTTAAACAGTTAAAATGCTGTATACAGGAATGAACTCTACCTACAATCTAAGATCAACCTAACCCTAAATCGGTAGGAATGGGGATAAACTGCATAATGCAAGGTAAATGCAAGTGTAAGCACACATATTTTGAAAGTAGTCTTCACTTCTTTGTTAGGTTCCTGGAACACAATGGTTAAAAAAATATCTTATGTGAGCGTTCACCTGTTGTGGTTTGTTCTCCAGGCCCCACCACCACTGAGGACTGTACCAGGAGACAAAAGCCAGGTTCTCAGCACAGAAAGCTACAGTCCAGAACAGCAGCAGGACGGCACTGTGTCCTCCTGTCCGATCCGACACCAGGACCCTGCGCCTCTCCACCCTGAGTAGAGCCATAGCCCAGGCCCATCCCAGGATGGAAAAGCAGCCGTACAGCACCACATACCCTGGAAGCTCATCTGCACTCGTGGCTCTCCAAATCATTCCACCCAGAAACTGGATGATCAGGAAGACGTGGAGGACCTGCTGAAAACCATAGAGGCAGGAGCGAGGAATGAACTTGCGTTCCATTTGCGTGCCATACTTTTGGTAACATATGCAGTGGATGGTGCCAAGGAGGAAGGAGAGGGAGAGCAGGATGGTGGGGACCAGTGTGAAGTAGAAGCAGGGGGCGATGCCTTCATCCACCCAGGTTATGGAGATGGAGGAACTTGCTGCACAGTAGCTCTGCACAAACACCATGGCTGCAGCTAGGAGAGAGAAATCATTTTAAAATCATAGCAGCAAATCCTAACAAAGACATCCCGTCTTTACTTGGTATTTTATAGTATACCTAGAAAGAGGAACTGCTTTGGCTCTGTTACATTAGGCACTGATTTATGCCATAGTAGTAAAAAAAAGAAAAAAGAAGAAGAAGTGCGCAAACACACGAGAAAACAAAGTGTGAAAGGTTAGCGCACCAGCTCAGTGGCACAAGAAGCTAATGTGGCTACAAGAAAAGGAAACTTTTAAGACTACATTTCAGAAGGTTTAGAGATCAAATAGTAGGCTGTTGTTGTTAGTTTTTAACATTACCTTTCCCAGGCAGGCAGCTGTGAAGTCAAAACACTGTACACAGTCCACTTGTTAGTAACCGAGGCTACTCCAGGGAGACGAGCGAGTCCTCCGAGCTGTTATTAGCTTGCTTATCGTCTCTAACTGTAGTCCAAACGACCTTCAGTAATGACACTGAGAGCACAATAACTCACAGCTATGTGTCTGTCATTACTACCACCAGCTGTGTGTAGTCATACTTACAAAGCGGTTGTCCTTGTAATGTGTTCACATGTTAAACAACCGCTACCATGACTCGACAACATTACGTTACACAACAGCGCCTGCTCGCTCTACCTGAACCTCAGCGCCCCCCAGAGGACGTCCACGGAACATGTAGACCAACAAGGGAACGACAGGCTTAACCTGTATCAAGTAGCTTAAAATGATATTTTGAGATATTCAAGTAATTAGCAAGTATTAATTGGCTATAGCAGGGGTGTCAAACGTCACACTGGATTGCTCTGGAAAATGTGAAGGGCATAAATTTTGCACTGTGCCCAGTATTTTCACAGGTTTCACACCTTTACCACTGATACAGTCATTCATACTACATCAACGTAATTAAGTTACAGATAAGCAAATAAATGCTAAAAAAATGAAAGTGTTTTTTCACTGTGTAATGGGTCAATAATAATAATAATAATAATAATAATAATAATAATAATAATAATAATAGTAACAATAATAATAATAATAATTTAAAAAGACATTTCTTTTTAATTAACAAAAACTTTCAGTTTTAATATTACAGGACAGTCTGGACAGTGACTACTTCGAAATGCACAACATGTATGTAATAAAGAAAGCTATTATACAATTTTTAACCAAAACAAAACAAAATGAACCTGAAATTAAAATAAACCAAATTTAAAAAAAACTGTTTATAAGACTAAAGTAAACTAAAATCAAAATTGATAAGAAATGTAGTCAAATTGTACCATATATTTCCCCGTATATTAATTACTGTATCTCAGTTGTTTTTATTTCTGTAATGCTTATGTGCTGTTACAGCAGGAAGCATTAGCTGGTAGTCAGTCCTTACGTCAACCATGCAGTTGAACCATCCACAGAAATGCACTTTATAGTTGAAATAGCACAAATGTAACTATGAAATACTAAAATAAAAGATGAATTCAAATTTAAATGAAATTCCCCATTAGGTTTAGCTTATGTGTAATGATTCAAACACAGAAAGTTACTACGAAAATGTATATCTCTGAGAATAATATAGCTAAAGTATGAGAAAATTAACAAACTACTTCCTGTGTTGTACAAAAAGAGCTTTCATGAGTACTGTGGCGAGGATGAGCTGACCCTGGAAAGGGGACGTAATAGCAATGCGTGCCACATTATTAATATCAACATACTATGCAGCAGCAACAAGTGTGTTTATTTCACTTGAACGTGTAGTTTAAGGTGGTCTGAAAAGCTTACAGGGTTTAGCAAAAAAGAAAAGTCTCAAAAGGAAACAGTCCACATGACACCAAATAAAACTTTCAATACATCTGCAGAGAAATGATGACAAAATACGGAGCATATCCTGATGGAGTGTGCAAAAGAAAGAGCTTGTGATGACTTGTGGGAGCTTATACTTGTACAGCCATACACAGAACAGAAAAATGATGGCTGAGGGGATGAAAAAGAGGTAAATCTTATCAAATGGAGCCTTCAGAATGGGCACAAAGAGATGCTAATCTTCTTCATCTACCCCAGGTCTTTTGTGTAAGTGGAAATGGACCTCCTGTCCACCAGCTGCTTGTAACCCCCCCACCTCTTTTGTGGCCAACCCACAACCTTCATCTCTCTCCTTTTACAGCCTCAGCTGGAGCCTTTTAAATCCTTTAGGTGAAGCTTTTCATTTATTCATTCCCACCTTTTGTGATTGTTAACATCTCCTCTCCTTAATTAAAGCACCTTTACTTTCCTCCATAACCTGCTATTGCACATTCACTTTGAAAACTCTAAATACATTTTTTGGAGAGACTTATATTTAAATATTATCAGCTTTGCATAATAGAAAAAAACAAAATCGATTGTTTTACCTATTAACTGTACAGTGAACACAAGAACATGCTATGGTCTCTCAGAAATAGAGACAGGCAGAGGTTTAGCATTCTGCATGCTCCTCAATGTAAAATTGCAAATACTTTGTATATCTTACTATCTACAGTGAACGATATCAGCAAAACATTCAGAAAACAATCTGGAGAAATCTCTGTGCACACAGGACAGGGTCAAAATCAGTGTTGTATCTGTGATCTTTGGGCCCTCAGACAGCACTGCATTAAAAACAGGAATTCTGTCACGGAAATCGCTGCATGGGCTCAGGAACGCTCTGTTTGTGAACATCAACAAATGCTCAGAAGATCATCGGAAGATATGATCCAGAAAGGGAGCCATCTTCTCCAGCCTAATGCTCATTTAATGTGGAATGAGGCAAAGTGGAAATGTGTTCTGTGTCAGACAAATGTAATGTGAAATTCCTTTTAAAAAATATGGATGGAGAGGGACCATCCGGCTTCTTATCAGTGTCTCTGATGGTATGGGGGTGCATTAGTGTGCAACTGTTTGCCCTGGAAGAGCAGAACAAACACCTGCACTGTTCCTTCAGAGTCGCCTTGTCACAATATGGCTGTGTGCAGGCAAGAGTAGGACCCAAACGCAAACTCGCAGAGACAAAAAGTAAACTCAAAAAACACAGCTTTATTGCTGGTATGGAGTGGGACACAAAAAACAATCCAAACCTAAACTGGGAAAACTAAAGCGCAAGGAGCCACAGGGAAAAATCACACAGCTAGACAAAGAGAAAGAGAAACATGGGGCTTAAATACACTGAGGGATAACGAGGGGGAATGAGCCACAGGAGGAGAGCACAGCTGGGAGTAATTAGGCAGGACGAGACAAGGGAAGCAAAACTAGAAACATTAACATAGGACAGACTGTGAAAGTAAAACAGGAAACACACTGACGGAACTCAAGACGTAAACTTAACAGACTGGGGAGACAGAACATAGGGACCTGAAACATGCAACAGAAAGACACAGTAGACACAACATGAACATAACAACGCCACAGGGGAAGAGTAAAACAAAATGCAAGAACACAGGACCTCTTTCAAAATAAAATGGGAAACATAATGAAACGCAAACATGACAACATAAGAAACACAGACATGAAGCACATGAAGGACAAGGGAGACTTAACAGGGGTTGGATACACAAGGGGAATCTAATAAACAAATGAACTTCACTAATCTAATGAACTTAAACATAAACAACATCCAAATAAACTAAAACTTAAAACGCTGGGTTAACAGACCCAGGAACATGACACGCCTTGCCTTAAAACAATCTCAAAATTCAAAAATGACTATTTGAAGATGGTTTTCCCTTAAAACTATCAAAGCAAACGTGACCCAACCCCCTTCTGTTATCTGAAGGAAAGCTTCATTTTCCCTGTTAAAGCTGAGATTCCCCACATGTACTTCATCTTGAATCCTTCACAAAGGAACAAATAAAAACATTGCTTGTCTGTTAACAATGCTCCTCTTGTTCTTCTTCAGAAAGTTTGAACATGTTTTCCATATCAATGACAGATGGCTCTGTATTCGAAAAAAAAAAATCACAGCACTTTAGTAAACACCAATACACCTGACAATCTGTGCTACTAACATTTTTTCCTGTATTTTCAATTTTATTTTAAACTACAAAGAAGACATTTTAAGACAGAAAATGTTTTTTTTTCTTCTTCTGTTATTTTTCTGCCACATCGCATTATAGTTTTGTTGAATCATTGTCCTGCACAGCTGCTGTAAACTGCTTTTCAGTGTGTCACATGATGACTTTGCAGAAAACAATACAGTGAATGACATTTCTGCCTAAGTTTTTAAACAAGTCTAAGAATGGCTAACTTGTCAGCCTTTCTCATTTTGCCTTGTAATGGCACCACGTTGAGTCTGCTCGGCCTGTTCCTGAGTCTCTGCCTCAACACCAGCCCCCCGTCACAAAGACTGTTTCTAAATCAGCTGCAGTTTTATCTCTTCCTGAATCAAAGAATGTACTTCCTGCTCTACAAATTGTTTCTGAAT